AAGGGCAACCCGGGACCAGGGTCCTGCCAAGACCTTTAGGGTAAGAGTTGGGTTTAGGGTTTAGGGTTTAGGGTTTAGGGTTTAGGGTTTAGGGTTTAGGGTTTAGGGGTTTGGGGTTTAGGGGTTTAGGGGTTTGGGGGTTTGGGGGTTTGGGTTCATCGGCTCAGGGTCTGGGACTTTTGGGGGTGTTTAGAGAGTAGGGGGGGTTTAGGGTTTAGGGTTTAGGGTTTAGGGTTTAGGGTTTAGGGTTTAGGGTTTTAGGGGGGTTTTACGGGGTGTCAAGGATGTCTTGGGGTCTTTGAGGGTTCGAGCGGCTGCGCCGGGGTTGAGAGGCTTAAGCATTAGGAGCTTTAGGAGTTTATGGGGGCTGCTGTTCGGTTGAGGAGCTGAGGACTTTGGGCTTCGGGGATTTGAATAAGGGTGCTACTGGGGTCCACGTAAGGGCTGGTGGGTGCAGGGGCTTGGGGTTGAGGGGCTTACAAGTTTAGGGACACTTTCTAACTATGTCGTAGTTATGCAAAGCAGGGCACAAACACCGAACCCCTAAGCCCTTAATCCATGATGGTGAAGTAAAGTGGGGGGGCCCCGGGGGGTTAAGTGCATGCTGATTAGCAGCACAGCACCAGCAGCCAGAACCACGAGGCATAGTAGAGGTAGCGTCGGTAAGTGGTTGTGGTAGTGGAAGTGGTGGTGTGGGGTTGTGTGCATCGTCAAAAGCAAAGCTGATTTGCAGGAGGCTGCCGCGATCTGCTGCAAGAATCTGTGAAATATTCAACATGCCCCTTGGGCATACCCCTTAAAGGAAATTAAGGGGTATTCTTTATATTCTCCTTTAAACGGTAATGGGTGTGGGTTTGGGGTATGTTGAACTATTATCAGAAAGAAATGCGTACGTGCTAGAACCTCGATGGGGACTCGTGAGATTCACGTTGACCTACTGGACTGCTGCAAGTAAGCCGAGAGACCCATGCACCATAAACCCTTGAAGTAGAGCCCTCGCGGCCCCTAAAGCCTATAATTATTAAGCCCCCCACCCCCTTCACAGGCTTTGTAGGATTAGGGTTGAGAAGGTTCAGGGTTTCGGGTTCTAGGGTTTATAGGGCCTAGTACTTCCCGCCTCTTGAAGCAGCAGAACTGCCACGTCCATCATCGCGCTGGTACGCGTGGGAATGCCGGCCACGATCCGAAGTGCGTGTCGCTCTGCCTTTACTGGACCCCAAGCCCCAAACCCTAGACCCTAAACCCTAAACCCCAAACCCTGAACCCTAAACCCTAAACCCTGAAGCCAAGCCCCAAACCCTCAACCCCAAACCCCAAAACGCAAAACCCTAAACCTCCAAACCCCAAGCCCCAAACCCCAAAACCCTGAACCCTAAACCCCATACCCTAAGCAACCCCCAAACCCCAAACACCAAACCCCAAACCCCACACCCCAAACCCCAAACCCCCAAACCCCAAGCCCGAAACCCTAAACCCTAAACCCTAAACCCTAAACCCTAAACCCTAAACCTCCAAACCGTAAGCCCCAAACCCCAAAACCCTGAACCCTAAACCCCATACCCTCAGCAAACCCCAAACCCCAAACACCAAACCCCAAACCCCACACCCCAAACCCCAAACCCCCAAACCCCAAGCCCTAAACCCTAAACCCTAAACCCTACACCCTAAACCCTAGCCCCAAACCCTAAACCCTATAAACCCCAAAACCCTAAACCCCTTCAAAAGAAACCTCGAGGAGGCCCTCGCAGATCAGCGCCAGGGCCGCAGTGAGGTCCTTGAATGGCCATTAGAAAAAAAAAGACGCTCTGAAACCCATCTCCCAAAATCAATCAAGGTTTAGGGTTTAGGGTTTAGGGTTTAGGGTTTAGGGTTTAGGGTTTCGGGTTTCGGGTTTAGGGTTTAGGGTTTCGGGTTCAGGGGCAGAATACCCTACAGTAGCCCCAAGCCTTTTGTATATACAGTTGGACTCTATCTAGCCAAAAAGGTTAAAGGCCACCTACCCAGTCCCTAAGAAAAGATGATCCCCCAAAACCCTCACCCTAAACCCTAAACCCTAAACCCTAAACCCTAAACCCTAAGCCTCTTAAACCTAATATCTGCCCAGGGTCGGGGGACACGAAACGCAGGCTCCGGAGGAAGCCGAGGACGCCGCTGGTCTTCCAGGCCTGGGCTTAGGGTTTAGGGTTTAGGGTTTAGGGTTTAGGGTTTAGGGTTTAGGGTTTAGGGTTTAGGGTTTAGGGTTTAGGGTTTAGGGTTTAGGGTTTCAGGGTTCAGGGTTCAGGGTTTAGGGTTTAGGGTTTAGGGTTTAGGGTTTAGGGTTTAGGGTCTAGGGTTTAGGGTTTAGGGTTCAAGGTTTAATGTGAGAGTCCCATTTATAAATGGGGTGGTAATACTAGAATTCGCCGGGCCAGAGGGGTCCAGCCGAAGACTACTTTCCATTACGGGAGGTTTTCGGGCCGATGTATGTAAACAAGTCTATATAGGCGGGTGCGGTGATAATAATAAAGGGTGGTAATTCTAAAATTTTTCCGGCCTGGAATTGAAAATTTTACTGAGAATCGCTTAAGAGTGGGGCCGGCAGAGCAAAAGGAGCTGCAGAGAGCAAGCAGAAGCCTTCAAGAGAAAGCAAAGCAGACCCTGACAGCTGACCCCCCCCCAGACCCCCAGACCCCCAGACCCCCAGAATTGATTATTGGCACCCCGTCTTTTTTCCACGGGCTTATAGGGTTCAAGGTTTAGAAGCAGAATAAGAAAAAGAATGCATGGCGGTCGCATATCTTTTACCTCTATGGGCTTCTGTCTGATACTGTGAGCTCCCAATGCTGCAGCGCCAAAGTAGGAGACTACTGTACAGGTCAAGCTACAGAGGTACCTAACTAGTCGGGTGTGCTCGTTTGTGTGTGTTTGTGCTCGGACGTTGCAGGCTGCTTAAGGTTGAGGTTTTAGGGGCCTATATATCTTAGTGTCTGGATGCAGAGTGTGTTTGCCAGACATTGCATCGACCAATGGACCCCTATCTATCTTCCCCTTAGTCATGCCATCTGCCAGCAGGCCGCGTGTGTCCATCCATTTCAGGACACGTGGCATATCTGACTGAAGCAAGTCACGCAGCCAGTTAATGTGCACGAACAGCGTGCGTTCTGCTGGCATTCGAGGGCTGGTTGCGGACAGGGCCCAAAACAAGTTCATGGCATCGATGATGAGCTCGGATGCCATTTCGAAGCCGCCTTTCTCACGGAGTGTCCTGGCTTGCTGACTGGAAAGGGGTCCCTTCAGGACCTCCTGAAAGGCAAAGAGCATCGGGACCAGTTGGTCGACTGTGCCCACTGCGGCCAGGGTCTCGGATGAGAAAGTGCTCCGAGTGACAAGTTTAAGACTCTGAGACTGAGCCTCAAGCAGGTGGCATACCTCCTTGCCTTGGGCATTGACGCCCCACCGGAGGAACACAGAGCCTCGCATGCCGTAGCCCTTGCTGTCTCCTTCTTTGTCAAAGGATGCGTCTGAAAAGGCCACGAGGCGGCGTTGACATGTCATTGCAGGAAACACAACCTTATGTAGTTTGCGCTGCATGGCTGCAAGGAGCAGGTTGAGGCGGCGCACGTGGATGTTAAGAGGGTTGGAAGTGCGCCTTTGAAGGGCAATGACGAACACAGCGGCCCAGGCCTGCGATAGAAGGGCGTAGGCAACAGCACCAAGCAAGCTTTGGTACAGCTGATGAACTTCTGCGCTGCACGGCTCTGTGCTGGGGCGGCCAGTGAGCTCAGCATGGCGGATGGGCCGCATTGCCAAGATGTATTCGTCGGCCTCTGGACCTGTGGCACCTGGGGCATCCCGAAATGGAGAGGGAGTTTGCACGTCCGGGTTCGGGGCTCGGCCAGGCGGTGTGAGCGGATACTCTTGAGCGCCCTGGCCTCCTCGACTGGCGTTGCTTGAGCCTCCAGGGGAAGCTGGCGGTTGAGGAGTGCCACTCACAGAGTGGCTCACATAGTTGAAGCGAGCAATGATGCGAGTGCTGCCATGGCAGTTGGGGCACTGCATCCTGGCCTCCTCATGGACCAGGTAGGAGGTCCAACAGTGGGTGTGGAACAAGTGCCGGCGCACAAGGCGAACCACAGACTCACCTGCTCCGAACTCTTCCTGGCATAGCGAGCACATTGTATCCTGCTCATCGTAAGCCTGCAGATCATCGGCCCTCGGAAGGTGGAGGGCCTTTTGAGTACGCTTGGCTTGTGTCCTGCGCTCTTGCATGGTACGCTGGGCATGGGCAAAGGCTTCAATGGATGCGTGGTGCACTTCATGGAGTTGGGATGTCACCTCAGTGGTCGGCGCGGTCTGGTCAGGCGGCTTGTTCAGCCAACGCAAGGTGGTTGCGGCAGTGGCAGAGTGCAGGCTACTCACAAGCTGGGCATTGATTGGCTCAAGGGTGCTTTGCACGGAGGGTAGCCCATCTCGCACAGGGATCATGGGCTCCTGCTCTGGATTGACAAAAGCCAAAGGTTGCTGCACAAAGCTGAACTCAGACATCGTAGCCCACGGTGGCAGGCTGGGCGGCGGCTGAGCCACATATAAAGGCACGGTGCTTGCAGGCCCTGTGAACAGCGGCAGTGGGAAAGGTGGTCCAGGCATGGGAGGCTGTGCTTCAGCAGGGTCAGCACCGACATTTACCCCTGCACCTAAACCACTAGAACTAGACCCTTCACCCCTATCAACCCCGGACGGAGGGTCAGCAGCTGAAGGCTGGGCCTGCCTACTGAACGCTCCCATACCTCGAAGGTACTCAGCCCAAGGATCTGGCTGTGGTTGAGGGACTTCGGACGGCATAGACCAGGAGTCGTCCGATGGAGAGGCCATGAAAACCATGCTGAGCGGGCCACCTTCAGGGATGGTGTTGACATGGAAAGAAGGAGCAGCAGAGGACGTCTGTCTGTGGTTAGGGTCTCGGGGCAGATGGCAATCCTTGCTGAGATGGGTTTCTGAGCCACAGCGAAAACACCTCATGGTCATACCATCTTTGCCTTTGGGGTTTGTGCGGCGGCCTTTGCCTTTGCCTGTGGACCTTTTGCCGCCTTTGCCCTTACCTTTGCCTGCAACCTTGAAGACCTGCTGCACCTCATCGTCGGAAAGAGAGGCAAGGAAGGCAGAGGGATTAGGACGGCTTTTACCCTTACCCTTAGACTTAGACCCATAACCCTTACCTAAGCCCTTATGTCGGATGAACCGGCGCACATGGCGCCTCACGGTGCGCGTAGGCTTCTGGGACCAACGTCGCCACTGGCTTTTGGCCTTTTGGTAGGCCCAAAAGAGATGCTCTCCAATGGCAGGGTCGTCATAGCTTCCTTCAGGAGTGCAAGGAGGCAGCTCGGTGCCACCATCAGAGCTAGCAGTATCGGTGTCAGTGCCACCGTCACTCACTTCGAACTCCTGCGCCATCCAAGCTGTGGCGCTTGGTTGCTCGGTGCCCCAGCCGCTGCCCGGGGCCATGCTGGCGTCGGGGTGGGCATCCCACACATTTGAAGCCTCGCCCTCAGCTGCATGCCACACAGAGGATGTGGCCTCCACCTCAGCCTGCGCCCAAAAGTTCTGGCAGGTTGCGTTGCGCTGAGGCCTCAAGGATGCTGCTATGTTTCCTGGGGCATGTTCCAGAATGTGTCCCATCCGGCGAAGCTGAGTCTTGAGCTGGGCCAGTTCTGCATCGGTCTGCGGGAAAACACCATTGAAAGGGGCCAGGAGTGTAAGCAGCTGGTGGTCACTAACCCCTATGGCTCTAAGCAATAACCAGGTTAAACCCGTAATGCTCATCACAAGTTGTCCCTGATCATGAGCCCGCTGCCTGACAACATCAAATCGGTTAATGATGTTGTCCACTGATTCCGCGCCTTGCCTGTCAAAGGTGAGCAGCTCAGTCACTGCTGACAGTCGAACTTCCTCTCCCAAGGCAGAGAACCTTTCAGCTAACACTGCTGCCCCGTTCACTCGTCCTCCCTGCACTAACACAGCTGGCGGCAGCGTCCGAACCAGCTCCTGGGCTGAGCCTCGGAGACTCATGCACAAAAGCGCTGCCTTGCGTGCGGGATCCCCCTCTGTGGCCACGGACCAAACCAGCACATCATGCGACCACCTCCTGAAGGGGTACTGGGCCTGGTTGCTGGGGTCCCACACTGGAGGCATCCTGGACACGCTGGCTGTGGGCATCATGTGGCACAGAGCCCCCAAAGCCAGCGCAGTGGCACTTAAGGTAACTACACCCACTAAAGTATGGGGATTAGGGTGGAACCTTAGGGTGTGCGCTGGGTGTGTGCGTGCATGCTGCAGGGCTGGCCCGTCACTCCCAGTGTCAGCGGCACACACTGGGAGCATCAGCACCAGCAACACAAGCAGGCCAAGCGGGCCTAGGCTCCATACCAGTCTCCAGGCAGAGGTACCGGCATGGTTCATCAGCCGAAGCCCATGAACCATGCTTTCCCATGCCGCTCCAGACACTGGCAGGCACACAAGGGTTGAGGTAGTCCCCGACTGTCGTACGTCGCGCTCGAGTCCGGTTGTCGCGTTCGCTCGCCCCAGTCCGGTTTTCGCGTTTGCTCGCTCCAGTCCAGTTGCACGTCCAACGTCGGAGCCAAAATGGGCGGTAGCAGAAACTGCGTGATGTAGGCACGTTGGTGTAGACCCATCCAACTGTGGCGACTCTGAAAAAACACCATTGTAGGCTCTTGTAACCACCGTCGATGGAAAACACGCGTCCAAAACATCTTGGCTGTAGCAGTTGTCTTGTAAACAATCCCATCCGCTGCTACCACAGGATGGATTCAGGCAACTGTTGCTGAAAATCGGCTCCCATACACCACTGTACTGCAGTATTGGGCTCGTGGTGCTCGTAGTGCACGTGGTAAAGCCAGGAGAAGGGCAGGTAGATCTTGTATGCTGTCCGCACCTGAAGGCCTGTGTACAAGATCTCCCAGGCCACATTGTCTCCCAGTGAGCTGACAGCCAAAGGCGAAACTGTAGAACCATCACAGCCCCGCGTCTGGCTGCTAGCCGTTTGGTGCGTCCCTGGAAGCGTTCCCAAGCGGGGCCAACCATAGGCTCACCCGCTCCGCTAGCAAGAAGCAGAATAAGAAAAAGAATGCATGGCGGTCGCATATCTTTTACCTCTATGGGCTTCTGTCTGATACTGTGAGCTCCCAATGCTGCAGCGCCAAAGTAGGAGACTACTGTACAGGTCAAGCTACAGAGGTACCTAACTAGTGGTTTTGGGGTTTAGGGTCTAGGGTTTAGGGTTTAGGGTTCAAGGTTTAGGGGTTTATAGGGCTCAAGGCTTTGGGGTTTAGGGTTTAGCTTTTGGGGTTTTGGGGATTTGGGGATTTGGGGTTTGGGCTTTAGACATAGGGTTTGGGGTTTAGGGCTCAAGGTTTTGTGGTTTTCGGGGTTTAGGGTTTAGGGCTTCTGGGGCTTTTGGTGGTTTTGGGGCTCAGGGTTTGTGGCTTCGGGGGTCTGGGGGGTTTTTGGGGTTTGGGGTTTAGTGTTGCGGGTTACGGGTTTACTAATATTACTATTGTTATTCTTATTATTCTGATGATTTTTTTCCAAATCTATTATTGTTTGTTTTTTCTTTTTTTTGGCGGGGGGGGGGGGGGGGGGGCTGGGGGTTTTGGGGATTTAGGGGTTTAGGGCCCCCAACCCTAAACCCGAAACCTCAAACCCTCATCCTGAACCCAACCCTAAACCCTAAACCCTAAACCCTGAAACCCTAAACCCTGAAACCCTAAACCCTGAAACCCTAATCCTTGAAACCTAAACCCTAAGCCCCCAGGCCTGGACGTCGGCCAGCTGCTCCGTGACGTTGTCCTGAAAGAAGGGAACCCTAAACCCTAAACCCTAAACCCTAAACCCTAAATCCTAAACCCTAAACCCTACTGGGCGTCCTGAAACAAGGGCGCCAGCCACGGCAAGTCGCGCTCGAAGAGAATCCTCGAAAGCCGGCTGCGGAAGAACCTCGGCATCGGCTTCAGGGACCCAAAGAGCCCAATACCTCTTAGTGAAGGAATATTTCCTGAAATTACATAGAGATCCTTAATGATATGATTTAAGGTATATTCCCTAATTAAGGGGTTTTGGGGGGGGGGGGGGGGGGGGCAGGGTTTAGGATTTCGGGCTTGGGGGTCTCAGGTAGGTAGGTTTAGGGTTTTAGGGTTTTAGGGTTTTAGGGTTTTAGGGTTTTAGGGTTTTAGGGTTTTGGGGTTTTGGGGTTTTGGGGTTTTGGGGTTTTGGGGTTTTTGGGTTTTAGGGTTTTAGGGTTTTAGGGTTTTAGGGTTTAGGGTTTTTAGTGTGTAGGGTTATAGGATTAGCGAGTTGCGTCGACACCCATTCCCTAACCCTGCCTTGAGATTCACCAGGCCTTTTCGGTCAAAGAAAGAGACTTGCAAGTGGCCGAACTACTACAGCCTAAACCCGAAACCCTAAACCCTGTGGACCCTAGCGTGATCTGAGGGGCAGGAAGTCCTCTTTCGGTGTGCACAGCAATCGGTCGTTGGGCGTGCCTCGCGTCAGGAATGATACGGGTTCCAGGGCGTCTTCAGAGATTGTAATGCTGGTTGTAGAGCTTCTGGCTTCCCAACCCTAAACCCTCAACCCTGAACCCTAAGCCCTGAAACCTATCAATAGGGGATTGGATTAGGGGGACCCTTGGGGGTATAGACCCTCTGAATAAGGTCCCTGTTTAAGAGAGCCAGAAGAGGGTTCAGAAGGGGTACCCTGTCAAGGGTCCCCCTTATCCTACATAGGAATCAACACATCCTAGACTAGATCCCAAACACGGAACACGCACAAGCCAAAAGAGCGGTTGCCATGTGGGCACTGCGTTGCAAATCCAGTCCGGAACATGGCGTATCCTGCAGGCAGTGTTGGAAGTTGCCGTTCTGGTCAGGCTCAGAAGTACCTGAGTAGGCCGTTCTTGATGGAAAAGACATGCATTGCGCTCCGATGCACGCAACTAGAACGAATATCCAAAAACTTCGTCGAACCATAGGCCCTAAACCCTAAACCCTAAACCCTAAACCCTAAACGCCGACGGGAAAGAGCGCAATGAGCCCGAACCCTCCGAAACCCTGAGCCCACAGCAGAAGGGGTTTAGGGTTTAGGGTTTAGGGTTTAGGGTTTAGGGGGGCAACGACTGGCCAGTGTGGCCCTGCTGCGAGAAGGCACAGCCCGGTGGAGTAGAAGCCACCATGGCCGCACCCACTCCCGTCCGTTCGCATGCCCTACACCCTAAACCCCTAAACCGGGAGGGCGCGGGAGGCTCCACTTTAGGGTTTAGGGCTTCGGGTTTAGGGTTTGGGGCTTAGGGTTCAGGGTTTAGGGTTTGGGGTTTCGGGTTTAGGGTTTTGGGTTAGGGTTTAGGGTTAGGGTTTAGGGTTTGGCGTGTAGGGATTGGTACGGAGAATATGGTGCCTGTAGACATCTCTCTCACAGCAGATTCCCCAAGTCGATTGAGGTTTGAGGGTTGAGTGCTGCGGGCTTAGGGTTTAATTAGGATTCATATGGTTTCCGCCTACTTGACCCCTAAGAAAGCTGCCGAATGACAATAGCAAGCTGCTGTTGCACGGACACCAAAAAGCATCTGAACCATAAGCCCTTGAACCTAAAGCCAACTAAGACCTAACCCTAAACCCTAAACTCCTTGAACCTAAAACCAACGAAAACCTAACCTTAAACCCCAAAGCCTAAAACCCTCAACTCTTTCGGAGAGGGCTAAGGGCTGATGTCCTCTCAATCTGGGAGCTGCAGAGATGTTATGAGGTTTCTTACTTGTACGTTCAAGACGCAGGATCTGGGGACCAGGTTCTCAAGGAGAGGGTTTAGGGCTGGAGGGTTCTAGGGTTTAAGGGTTTAAGGGTTTAAGGGTTTAAGGGTTTTAAGGTTTAAGGGTTTAAGGGTTTAAGGGTTTAAGGGTTTTAGGGTTTCGGGTTTAGGGCAACTGGGGCACTTGGCGGGGATAGTTGGGGAGACTTGTGGGATGCTTGGGGATATGCAGGAACATTCAGCTCCCTTCTGGGCCTAAGGCCTATAAATCGGAGCCCCTAAACCGCTGAAGCCCTGAACTCCTAAACCAAACGTTAAACTTGCCCTAAACCCTAAACCCGAAACCCTACACCCTGAAGCCAACACTCTAAACCCTAAGCACCCCTACACTCTAAACCGTGGTCGTATTCTCTGCGCGCCTTGCTGCTCTGCTCTCTGGGTGATTTTAGGGACTTTAGGGTTTGGGGTTCAGGGCTTAGGGTACTCTAAACTCCTACACCTGCCAGAAGGCATTTGATCCGGCTTGTTTTTGGAGGCAAAAAGAGCCAGAAACAGGAACGAGTCAACTGCTCAGAGTTTGAGTCTTTTCGTGTCTTCCCTGAACGCTAAACCCTAAACCCTAAACCCTCAACCCTAAACCCTAAACAACCCTAATCCTTAATCCCTAAACCCCCAAAACGCTTCGCCTGAGTGCGGGGCCACTGTCGCCATCTCTTTCCCGGACCCGTCGAAGGCGATGGCCTGCCAGCAAGAACAACAACACCCAAGCCCTATATTATATGGGGTTTCCGAAAGCAGGGGTGCCTTGTGGGGGTTCCTTTTCATAAAGGGAATCCTGCTATTTGGGGTCTACATTAGGGGTCCCCTTCTAAACCACTCCAGGCCAAAGAGTACCCTAGGAATAACAAGGGTGCCCTTTTCTGTCATAACTTCTAAAGGAATCTCAAACCAAAACATGGAATCAAGGGCCTACTCTGGGTTCCTAGACCTCTCAAACCCCAAGCCCTGCACCCGTATACCAACCCCTTGAGCCCGACACCCCTACAAAACCCACATTAACCCGCCAATGATTGAAGCGAAAGCGATTAATCAAACCCTTAACCCTGAACCCCTAGGTCTCAGGGATCGTATGCAAACCCTAGAACCATCGTTGCAGGCTTCGGGTTATTTATTTTTTATTTTTTTTTTTTGGGGGGGGGGGGGGTAAGGGAGCGAATTCGAGTTCGGCATGCAACTCGCGTTGCTCACGTCGGCTGTGCAGGACAGCACACCCCCAGGAAGCTGAGCGAGCGAGTGAGCCGTTGTGTGCGGTCGGTGAGTGAGTGAGTAGGTATACGACAGGGTTCCGGATTTAGGGTTTTTTTGGGGTTTTAGTGTTTATGGATTTATGGCTTAGCAGAGTAAATGCGGTACATGTGGCCCCACTTGTACTAACCCAAAGGATCCATGTACCTGTATAGTATATACTTGGGCCTTAAAGGGGTTCCTATATAGTAGCTTTAGGCCCAAGTATATACCATATAGGTACATGGATCCTTAGGGTAACCCATGAACTAAACCCCCCGTCGGTCAGGAAGGCAGAATGCTTCAACCCTGTCATCTCGAACCGCAGTACGCTTCAGGGGTTAGGGTTTAGGGTTTAGGGTTTAGGGTTTGGGGTTCTTCAGGGGTTAAAGGCTTCAAGGTCTACGGGTAGTTGCATGGTCCCTTAATCTGGGTTTAGACATGGGGACCCTGATATACCCCATATATACCCTACTAAACCTAAGGGTCCGTATGTCAGAACCTTTTGAAGAAGTAGGTAAGGGACCATATTAAGGCACCATACTAAGGGAGCCATGCTACATAAGGTTTTTGGGGGCTGTTTTGAGCCTAAGGGTAACCCTAAACACTAAACCCTACAGGGTTTCAAGGTTAAGGGGTTTCAAGGCCTAAGGGTAACCCTAAACCCTAAACCCTAAACCCCATCCCTAAACTCTACACCCTAAACCATAAAACCCTAAACCTTAAACTCGAACCCTGAACCCTGAACCCTGAACCCTAAACCCTAAACCCTAAACCCTATCCCTGAACCCTAAACCATAAACCCTAAACCTTAAACTCTAACCCTAAACCCTAGCTCTGCCTCCCAGTCAACACTACGTCCTCTCTGGGACGTTGCAACTGGCTCGAACTTCCCTAAACCCTAAGCCCTAAGCCCTAAACCCTAAACCCTAAACCCTAACCCTAAACCCTAAACCCTAAACCCTAAACCCTAAACCCTAAACCCTTCTTCCTCCTCTTAGCTGTGGTTTTGGGCTCTTGTGCTGGAGGAACGCAAGGAGCATCGTGGCATGCCCAATCGAAGCTCCTCCAAACGCTGTGGCAGCGCATGCGAAGCGCCCGCATTGCAAAGTTGACCAGCCGCGTCTGCCACCTTGAACCCTAAACCCTAAACCCTAAACCCTAAACCCTAAACCCTAAACCCTAAACCCTGGCTTCGTCCCCTTGCCTGGATGGAGGTGAACTTCAAGAACCGGTCGGGGACCATGAGCTGCGTCTCCCCACGACCTGAGGCTTGCGGTTGGGGGGCTAGGATGTCTTGTGCCTTGGGTTTAGGGTTTAGGGTTTAGGGTTTAGGGTTTAGGGTTTAAGGTTTAGGGTTTAGGGTTTAGGGTTTAGGGGCCAACCTGGGATTCATCCTAAACCCTGCGCTCCCAAGCAAAGAACAGGCAACTTTCCCCTTTCTTGCAATGGCCGATAGGCTCCTAACCCTATAAACCCGAAACCCGAAACCCTAATCCCCAAACCAGTGGCTAATATTGGTGTGCCCTCAAGCCTAAACAAGTCCTCAACGGCTACAACCCTAACCCTAAATTCATGAAAAAACTATGCATACCGTCACTCGGTTGGCTCTCTACACCCTCTGAAACACATTCCTCAATAAGGGCATCCTAAACCCGACAAAAACTATCTAGCTGACCTCAGTAAATATCCCTTAAACCCTAACACACGCAAAGCCCAACAAACCCTAAACCCTAAACCCTAAACCCTAAACCCAAAACAGTAAACCCTAAACCTTAAACCCTAGCCTAAACCCTAAACCCTAAACCCCAAACCCTGAACCCTAAACCCCAAAGCCCTGACATCCTCAAGACCCCAAGCCTCTTAGGGTAGCGACATGGTCCCTGAATATGGTCCGTTGGGTTGAGGGTTTAGGGTTTAGAGTTTAGGGTTTAGGGTTTGGGGTACCCCTTACATACCCCTTATATACCTATACAAATATTACGGGCCCATACATCAGAACCCTGTCAAGGAGGTTAGGGACCAGAATAAGGGCCTCCTAAACCCTAAACACTAGCCCTAAACCCTAAACCCTAAACCCCAAACCCTAAACCCTAGCCCTAAACCCTAAACCCAGAACCAAACCCTAAACCCAGAACCCTAACACAGCAGCCTGCCGGGCCCATAGTGCTCCGTCGCGGCCGGTCGCTCCGGTCACCTTCCAAAGGCACTCCGGTGACGGAGGGAAGGGCTCTACAAGCTATTCCATGGCGGGAAGATACGAAACTTGGTGCTCAAGCCCTAAAAACCCTAAACCCTAAACCCTAAACAAGCCACTGGCTCAGCTAACAGCTTGGTTTGGTGCAGGAATCCGGGATCAGGGACTAAGGCTGAGGGATTGTGGGAGGAGGGTTTAGGGTTTAGGGTTTCGGGTTTAGGGTTTAGGGCTAGGGTTTAGGGTTTCGGGAGGAGACCTTGCCAGATGCCGGGGAGGATCTAGAAAGCTCAACCCCAAGGAGGGTTGTGGGGCTGGGGCCCACTCCCAACTGCTACATGGGCTCTCTCTCCCAGCTACAATACCCTAAAACCTAAATGCTAGACCATATACCCAAAACCCTAAACCCTCAACCCGACCCTAAACCCCAAACCCTAGACCCAAAACCCCAAACCCTAAACCCAAACCCTAAACCCTAAACCCTAGCCCTAAACCCTAACCCCAAACCCTAGACCCAAAACCCCACACCCTAAACCCTAAACCCTAGCTCAAAACCCTAAACCCCAAACCCTAAACCCTAAACCCTAGCCCTAAACCCTAAACCCCAACTGCGCCTCGCTGCCAGCCATCCGTCGTCATGGGGTGGACCGTGTGCTGCGAGAGCCGCCTTGCAAACTCCAAATTCCCTCAAAGGGGTCTCAGGCATTTAGGGGGCTTAGGGGTTTAGGGTTTAGGGCTAGGGTTTAGGGTTTAGGGTTTAGGGTTGTGGGGGGGGGGGGGGGGGGGGGGGGGGGGGGTCTAACGTAAGGGTTGAAGGGTTCAGTCGAAGGATTTATAGGGTTTAGGGCTTGGGGTCTAGGGTTTAGGGAGCTTGAGGATTGAGTTTCAGGCTTTACCCTAAACCCTAAACCCTAAACCCTAAACCCTAAACCCTAAATTAGGGCTTAGGTAATAAAAGCCCACGAGCCTTAAGCCCCGAAGCGTCCCTGAAAGCAGGCCTCGCACCCACACCCCGGTGCTTCAGACGGGTTCAGGGTTTAGGGTTTAGGGTTTAGGGTTTAGGGTTTAGGGTTTAGGGTGGTTTAGGGTTTAGGGTTTAGGGGGTCTGAAGGCTTGGCGCTGGAGTTTGTGGATGCTTGTGGCTTAATTAGGCTTCCTTTCAGGTACAGCCTGGCGAATGGGGTTCAGGGCTTCAGGATTGAGGGCCTACGTTCCCCAGCAACCTAGGCAAGAAAGGGTGCGCTTCAAAACAAACAATGGGGCCATCAGATAGCAAAACGCTTCAGTGCGTCAGTTTGCATCCACAATGTACCACATGTCGTCGTTACTTATGCCGGTTTGGGTTGCTGGGGGCCGAAACCCTAAACCCTAAACCCCAAACCCAAAACCCCTTCCTGTTCACAACAAAGCTCGAGCATGACATCCTAGTGGTCATGCATAAGCTTGGTGTGAGGGATTTAGGGTTTAGGGTTTAGGGGTTTAGGGTTCAGGGGTTTAGGGGTTTAGGGGTTTGGGGGTTTAGGGGTTTAGGGTTTGGGTTTGTTCTTTCGGGCTTTCCGTGGCGATTGACCGAACGATCCGAAACTTGATCCCTTGGCCGGTTTCCGCCATGTCTTCGTAAGTACCCTATAACCCTAAACCCGAAAAAACCTCAAGCCCTAAAACAGAGAACGTGGGGGGAGGGCCGGGGAGGGCACCCTCGTCCATGGGGTCGTCATAAGATAAGTAAGGGTTTAGGGTTTAGGGTTTAGGGTTCAGGGTTTAGGGTTTAGGGTTTAGGGTTTAGGGTTTAGGGTTTAGGGTTTAGGGTTTAGGGTTTAGGGTTTAGGGTTTAGGGTTTAGGGTTTAGGGTTTAGGGTTTAGGTTAGGGTTTAGGGTTTAGGGTTTAGGGTTTAGGGTTTAGGGTTTAGGGTTTAGGGTTTAGGGTTTAGGGTTTAGGGTTTAGGGTTTAGGGTTTAGGGCCATGCATCCCCCAGGTCTAACACTAAACCTGACCCCCGACGCCACACCATGGGCTCCGAGCCCTAAACCCTAAACCCTAAACCCGAAACCCTAAACCCTAAACCCTAAACCCTAAACCCTAAACCCTAAACCCTAAACCCTAAACCCTAAACCCTAAACCCTAAACCCTAGCCCTACAAACCCCAAACCCCAAACTCTAAAGCACAGGGCCGCTTCTCTAAACCATGGTCCCTTTTCGGGTTACGACAAACAAGGCGGGCTCCCACATTTTGGGGAACCCAAGAAGGGACCTGAAGAAGTGGAGTTTAGGGTTTAGGGTTTAGGGTTTAGGGTTTAGGGTTTAGGGTTTAGGGTTTAGGGTTTAGGGTTTAGGGCATGATCCTTCGAAAGCGGCTGGATCCTCGCTCCCCAGGAAGTATAACCCTGAACAGCATCCCCATTCGAGGAGGCCACAGAAAAACAAAAACGAAAAACTTTCACAAGAAGACGCCCTTCGGACTCTTTAAGGGGCCTTTCGTGGTTTACTTACGCTTTAGGGTTTAGGGTGAAGGGGTGTAGGGATTAGGGTTGCCCTAAGCCCTTCTCCCGAACTCTTCAGCCCATAAGCCGCGGCCGCGCCTGCTGTCGGGAAACCACTGCTTCAGCGAGAAACTGCCACAAGAGAAAGGGTTGAAAGCCCTACTTAACCCTAAACCCTAAACCCCACACCCTACACCCTAAACCCTAAACCCTAAATCCCGAAACCCCAAACCCTAGCTCGCTCCTGGCTCGGCGTTTACAGGCTCTAGGGTTTCGGGGCCTTGATAGCCCAGCAACCATGTTGTAATGGTATCCTTGTTGGAGGTTGGTTGCTTTTGTCAGGGAAACCAGAACCCGAAAAGGGCAAACTCCCTAAACCCCAAACTACCCCAAACCCTGAACCCTAAACCCTAAACCCTAAACCCTAAAACCCTAAACCCTAAACCCTAAATGTGGCTTGCGGGTTGTGGCCTACCCTGTGGTGGTTTAGGTTTCTGTTGCCTTCAGGGTCTGCTGTCTCTGGGTTTAGGGTTTGGGGTTTGGGGTTTAGGGCCAGGGTGTTTGGGGTTTGGTGTTTAGGGCCAGGGTTTGGGGTTTGGGGATTGGGGTTTGGGGTTTAGGGTTTAGGGTTTAGGATTTAGGGTTTGGGGTTTAGGGTTTAGGGTTTAGGGTCTAGGGTTTAGGGTTTAGGGTTTAGGAAATAGGAAATAGGGTTTAGGGTTTAGGGTTTAGGAAATAGGGTTTAGGGTTTAGGGTTTAGGAAATAGGGTTTAGGGTTTAGGGTTTAGGGCTTGGGGTTTCCAAGTTCAGGGCTCGGCTGAGTGGTTGAGGCTCCATATGGGGTCGAGCCAGCAGATTTTTTTTCTGCGCCTTGCCGCGGTCATTAGGGTTTAGGGTTTAGGGTTTAGGGTTTAGGATTTAGGGTTTAGGGTTTAGGGTTTAGGGCTCCGGGTTTCGGGGTCTTACTTGGAAGACCGTTTGACTTCGCAAGTCGGGTGAGTCAGGTGGGCTATGGGGAGTATGAGAGGGGCTTCTAGTTCGAAGTAGGCCCCTTCTCGAGGCCCGAAAAGGCCTTAGCCCTAAACCCTACAAAGCTGTCTGGGGTTCGGACTCCCAGAAAGTTCAGGTGAGGGTTTAGGTGATCAGAGCTTTACGCCTGTGAGCTTTTGAGATTTTTCGTAGTGAAAATAAATAGTTTTAAGTTTACGATCTATAGATCTATATCTATATCTATCTGTATACATATATATATATATATATAGTGTGTTTTTTTTTGCGGGGGGGGGGGGGGGGGGTTCTGAACCCTAAACCCTAAGTTGGTTGCTGTGTTTTGGGCTGTAGGGTGTTGGTCAGGGGGATGAAGCTCCTGGCTTTTTGCGTTCAGGGGTTTGGGGTTTAGGGTTTAGGGTTTAGGGATCACGGACTTCGGCTGAGGGCTTTATAGGGATTTAGGCTGTCTACGAGCTGCAAGGTTCAGGGTTTCGGGCTTCGGGCTTAGTGGTTGGGGTTTGGGGTGTATAAGCCTCAGCCCTAAACCCTAGACCCATCCGCTGCCTGCTGTCAATCCGCTCCGCGTCCACGCCTGTCCCGCAAGCGTGCCTAGTTCATACCCCTAACCCTGAACCCTAAACCCCAAACCCGGTATTTCAGGACTCCAGTTAGGGATTTTGGGCGCCTGAGCCAAAACCCACCCCATACTTTGACGAGGGATGTAGGGTTTGGGCTCCTAAACCCTAAGCCCTAAGCCCTAAGCCCTAAACCCTAAACCCCAAGCCTTACAAACTGGGGGTTCGGCAGTTCGGTCCTAGGGATGTCATAAGTTTGGGGTTTAGGGTTTAGGGTTTGGGGTTCGAAAGGCTTAGGTTACGGTTTACGCAGGGCTTTGGGCTTGAAAGTTGTAGGGTTTAGGGCTTTGCGTTCGAAATGTTTAGGGTGAGGTTCAGGGTTTTGCGGTTGAAAGTTGTAGGGTTTAAGGTTAAGAGTTTGAAAGGTTTAGGGGGTTCGGGGCATTCAGGGATTAGGGATTCGGGTTTTCGGGTTTTAGCTCTGAAAGGTAGGGATTCTGCACCTAAGGTATAGGGCTTAGGTTTGGGTCGGTGCCTAAAACCCCCACGTCCCGACAAATAATCAAAGAGTTTTTAGGGTTTAAGGCTTACGGCTACGCCTCCTTAGGGGGCGCGCGGAGAGTTTCTACCCCCGACTAGCCCAAATGGGGTTTCCGAAATTAGGGGTACCAACGGTACCTTCATCAAAAGGGGATCCTACTATTTGGAGTCGAAATGAGGGGGGGGCCCTTATTTTATGTTAAACCACCAAATTCGCTCTCCCACGCCCCTTAATGTACTTATAACCCAATTATGACCAGTTTAATCTACTTAAGGGGCTTATAAATGGGCTATAACTTGCAGTTACCCTAAACCCTAAACCCTAAACCCCTCTAAACCCTCCCAAGTGCCCTGAACCTCCAAGTAGGGCGTTGGACTTTCGCGC